AATTTTCTTTTTCTTGAATTCATTTTGACTACTTTTATTCACTAAACAAACACCTACTCCACAATATACTAGCATCAGTACTATACTTGTAACTTTCCTCATGTGAACGGTATCAAGCCATTTTTGATAGAGTAGCGAGTAGAGTCGACTCTACTCTACTCTCCTCACAACTCTACCCATGTAAACAAGTCTTTCTTACATATAACTTTGCAAATTTTCCTATTTGGGTTGCACAATAAATTATGAACAAACTATTAATGTACATATCTGCTGTATTTAGTATAATAATAATGACAGTACACTCATATAACACAATAGACATTACAATACGTTAGCAAGGGTTTGCTTAATATTTAAGTACATTATTGGAACTGTTCATATTCAATGCTAGGTTTTGAAAATCCCTTTATTTGTAAATTTTCCTTTATATTTCAGATATGAACTTCTTTACCGGCATGGAGAGTAAATTTCCCTTTATAATTTTACCTTGAATTATTTACCTTTAAAAAATGCTGCGGTTGCCCCTTGAATAACACAGTTTGGAATGTGTGAATTTAAAAAACTCAGCATTATAAATAATCAAAAAATGTCAAATCATTTGAGTTTTATTTTAATTGGATTAGCTAACCTTAATTATAATGCCTCGATGATCTTTGATCTTTGTTTTTCTTATTCTTTGTGTAACTTACAACTTATCTATTATCTAAAATGTATAAATTGTGTTAAATAAAACTTGTCTTATAAATTTTTTCCCTTTTGAATTATAAAAAATATTCTACCAGTTGCATTATTCCCATAATAACATTAAACTTGAATTGACAACTTAACTGGTGTACTTTAATTTATTTGTATTGTAATAACAAACACCTGATAATTAGGTGAGTGTCAGAATAAATTTAATAACAACACCACAACACTATCTTGTACAGTGTCGTAACCAGGATAAATTATGACTTCGTCAAAGAATTATTTTCTTTATGAATATTTTATTTATTTGTCATATAAAAATATTCTTAGGTACTAAAAATTTCGGATTATTGTATTATTTGTGTTGCGTTACTGAAAATGCTTCAGAAAACTGAATTCAGGTGTTTCCACACTGCTCATTCCGATACATAGTACCTATTGTATATAAATAAACAAAATAGACAGCAAAATGTAGATTCTATGAAAACTCAAGGGATAGGGCTAAATATATTTCCTTAGACGGCAGTGTAATTGTGTGTCACCTCTGTAAGTACCAAAAACATATGTTTTCAAATCCCTCAAATTGTGAGACACAACAAAAATAGGTGTAGAAAATACAAAATATTATATATTATAAACCTTATTTTTTAATTCTTTAAACAATTTTTGAAATCGATTTCCGGGATAAAACGAAACAAATTACAACTTAATCCCACATAAACATAAATATATTTAACTTAATATGCCACAACAAAACATTTTCAGAATCACCTACTAACTTAATCGTTTTAGTTACGCCACTGTGGAAATCGTGAGTGTCGTGACTCCCTGTTAGTAAAATTATTACTCATGACAGCCTTCTTCAACGTGCTTGTCAAACGTCAAAAATTTCAAAACTAAATTTATAGGAAACCGTGTATTCCAAAATTTCCCCAGTTTTCTATTTTTTTACTAGTGTAATGGTTAAACAAATCCCAAAAAGGATATAATTAATTGTAATTAGTACGAAATAATTAAAGATGACCACCGAAGAACAAACTCAACAATCTGTTTCAGCGGAGGACGCGAAAATAGCCGAAAAATATAAGTCCGATGCTAATGAATACTTTAAAAGTAAGTAATTAACCTCTAAGAAATAATTAACCGCATGACATAAATTTGTACTTTTAATACTGATGTAATTACTCTTTGTAATCTATTGAACAAAGAAACATTGGCTCTAGATTATGCTAGGATCAAAATATCTTCAGATGTTTAACATGCTCTTTCTCTAACAATTACTATGAAAGAGGAAGGCATGTATTATGCTATCTTTAACTGTTAATAAGCTGTGGTTTATTGGATTTTAATTTCATTAGATGTGTTATTCATTACAGGACATTTTTGTGTTCTCTTGGTTTCTTAAATAGGTGCTATGTTTCAATGGACTTTACCTCCAGGTCTGCATGTTACATGATTCTACTTTTGATCTATACTTTGATTTACTTTTGATAGTGGTTTAATATGTTTACCTTAAAGATAAAGCCTTAGTTTAATTCTTGAAGTTGAAACAGCCATACACATTTTAGTAATATGCAAGGTAAAAACTAAAATATCTTTTATCAAGCCACAGCAGTATAAAGCCAAACAATTATTATTTTGTAGATACAACATGACATATCCATTAATATTTACTGAGTATTTATATAGTTTAATTCTTTTTAGAACAAGATTTCGATAATGCAATAGAACTTTATACCAAAGCAATTGAAAAGAATCCCACTGTAGCTATTTATTATGCAAACCGGAGCTTTGCATATCTAAAAACTGAATGTTTTGGCTATGCTTTAACAGATGCCTCGAAATCAGTAGAATTAGATAAAACTTATGTGAAAGGTTATTATCGACGAGCTGCTGCTCACATGTCATTAGGAAAATTCAAGGAAGCCCTAAAGGATTATGAATATGTAAGTTTTTAACACATGTATTATCTATTTATTGTTAACTTTAAGTTTATTATAATACAAATTAGTAGGAGCAGGTTTTCTTGTTTTGTAATATTACTTAACTGCTTAGGTAAATTGTTTGTCCACTATTTTTAATATCTTTTATTTCTACCTTCTATATATTTTTTTGTCAGTTCCTTGTATGGTACAGTTTACTTCTTTACTTGCTTTTTACCATGTGTATGAGTATGATTTCATAAAAATAAAGTCTAAGTACAAAGAAGTCGAATAGTAGGTGTTACTGTGAACTAGTGTGGAGCTTTGTACTATGTTTTCTGTATTTATAAAGTTTAATATATCATTGTGTTTGCTCCTAACGCCATCTTTTAACATATTAACAAAGCATACAGCGTTTATTTATCACCTACTTACATTCACATTTCATACTTCTTTCAGGCAATTCGTCAGTTCAATTGAAATTAGAAATAATTTTTTAACTTGTTCATTAACGATATTGGTAAAGCTGTGAAAAACTCACACTTTCTGCTATTTGCTGATGATCTTAAGATATTTCATTGTATACATGATAAATCAGATAGAGATCTCTTGCAAGATGATGTAAATAATATATGTTTACTGTCGAATCAAAATGGTTTAAGCTTAAATCCAACTAAATGTTCTTGTATTTCGTTTGGTCATATAAATAATCTAATAGCTAATAGATATGTTCTTAATGATGTACTTTTGGATTCAGTTACTGAGACTAGAGATTTGGTTGTATTATTGGGTTCTATATTGACATTTAGAAACCATTTTTTTAACATTAAAGGAAACAGGATTTCATAATCTTGGTTTTATTTATCTTAACAGTCATGATCTCTTACCTATTGTATTCAAATTATTGTACTACTGTCTGGTATGCTCAGGTCTTCAGGTGTTCAGCGGAATTTTCTAAGATCGTTAGCTTTTAAAGCACATATTAATATAAGAAATACTGGAAATTACTTCATAGATTATTCTGTAATAATGTTTCAATTTAACATTGCTACACTGAAGAACTGCAGGTTAAGAGCTGATATTGTATTTTTTATGTTTTAAAATTTTAAACAATGTTGTTAATTGCCCCCAGTTATTAGCCAATGTGTTCTTGAACACAATATATACAACTCGACACACTGCACCTTTTATATTCCTTTTCATAGAACTGATTATGCTTGTCATTTTCTCTTGTCGAGAATGCTCAGCTTTTGCAATGACCTTCTACTGGATCTATTCTGTTCAAACATTAATGTTTTCAAAAGGCAACTTAAGAGTCTAATTAATCTAAATATGTGATATTTTTTTTACCTTTGTGATTTGATATACTGTATTAATTACAAATTTTTATTGTTTAATTGTTTCTTTGTTGTTGTTTTGATGTTTATTGTACATGATCATTACTTTTTACCATTTTTTGTATTTTATTGTAAATGGTTCTACTGTTGAAATAAATAAATAAATAAAAATCAATCATCACATGCAGATGATGCTCTCTTACAGCCTGACCTGACTTTCTAGCGAGTTCCTGTTTTGATTTAACTGCTGAATGTCTCATTGAATAGCAGAACAACTTATACTTAGCACCTGGGAAGCATAATATTGGCTATGAGCATCTTACAGCCAATGCCACAGCTCTTGCAGCATCCTTTGGTAATGTCATTTATTACAATTAAAAATTCTGAACTCAAAACATTTTAATACCAAATTCGTCTGGCTGTTAAAATAAGTTGAAAAGGAATTAATTTCTTGCTGCTTATTAACTTTTTGGCAAAAAGATAAAATTCTGTTGTAATCTTAATATAATAAATGCCATACAAAATAAATAAATAATAAGTCCCAAATTCTAAAATTCCCAATAAATTGGAAATATGTCATGATCAAATTTTTTTCACCTGAGTGAACACTGAGAAACTGGTGAAACCTGCCTTTTTCTTTCCAAGTTTGTCTTTGATTTGCCACTACCTGGTGAAAACCAAATATAAGCCAAACTATGTAATAGTATTAAAAAAGAACAAAATTGTCAAGAAATCTTGTGGTTCACAAGACAGTGTCCTTTATAAATCATGCATTTATTGATTTTTGTTTAATGTTTTGCTTGTATATTTTTTTGTAATAACATTATTTTATTTATGTTACTTTTGAAGGTGACTAAAGTGAGACCAAATGATAAAGATGCTAAAATGAAGTATATGGAATGCAACAAAGTAGTCAAAAAATTGGCATTTGAAAAAGCCATATCGGTGGAAGACAATAAGAAAAATATAGCAGACAGTATTAATATTGATGCAATGAGTAAGTTTTTTGTAACAGCATATTATATTAAATAACAACATATTATTTTTGAATAATTATATATAGAAGCCCTTTTGGTTGCGGTTTCATAAAGAAAAGTTCAATTTCTTTAAGTGTGTGTGGAAAAAATGTGTTATGAGAAAAAGTGGTGTTATTGAAAAAGTGATTTAATAAACAAAATCCGCATGTTCTCTTTGTCTGTTTGAGTAATAAATGTTTTTGAACAGGTTCTGAAACCTAGTATTGATGTAAAAACTAAAATCTGCTCTAAGACACTCTGTATACTCCAGTTGTCAGAGACGGAACTGCCACTTACCCTCTAAAAATCATACAAACAAGCTTAGTTTTGCAGAGAATATTAATTTTAGGACTCCAAAAATCTGTACACCATAGAAAAAAATGTTTCAAATAAAAAATATAGCTGAGATAATTTTTAGACAAAAATGTTTATAAGCATTTTGTGTAGAATGAACCGTTCTCTTAGAATCAACGTTTGAAGTGACCGTCGATTTTGCATGTCAATTACGCGAGTGAAATCAATGTTCAACTAAGTTTGTATCAGCTCGACGGTAAAAATTCGATATCTTTTGATTCAAGTGACCTATCGACAAAAATCAAGTTGTGTTTTAAAGATAAAGAGTTCAACTTGTGTATGTAGCTTTTGTATTTTGCCGCAAATAATGTCAGATTTTATGTAGCGCGATTTTGCCATTTTTTGTGATTCTCACGAGATCACTACAATCTATCTCTTTCATTGACTGGCTACTGTGAAGTCTCGATTACTAGTGCTTAAAAAACGATTAATTTAAACTTTCACACAACAAATGATCTAAAACATTTAAAACTTTTGTTTCAATTACAATAGTACATTTTTCAAAAGAACAAAACTTCTGCAATAAATTTTCCAAAAATCGTCTTCTTAAATGCATTTACCGTGAAATGTGACGTTTTGTAATGTAAACATTAAATTCTGCGCTTTTTGCATATTTCAAATGCCTCATATTTGTTATCACAACTCAAAATTGAAATTTCATGTTATAGGTTTTAAAGATTGATCTCTAAAAACGAAAATTTTACTACAACTGGTCTATGAAAGTGATCAATTTGATTGATCTCACCAGAATCGTAAAAAATGTCAAAAATCGCGATACGTTAATTTATTTAACACCTTTATAAAAACTGAGTTTATTCTTGACAAAATACAAAAACTATACGAAAGCTACACTCTTTGCCTTTAAAACATATCTTGATATTTGTCGACAGGACATTTGGATCAAAAGATATCGAATTTTTACCGTCAAGCTGATACAATTTTCGCGCGCATAATTGACTTGTAAAATCGTCGGTTACTTCAAGCGTTGTTTCTAAGAGAACGGTTCATTGGACGCAAAAATGCTTATAGACATTTTTGTTTAAAATCATCTCAGCGACATTTTTTATTTGAAACCTTTTTTTCTACGGTATACAGATTCTTGGTAAATCGATTTTTTGCCTTTTTACCCCCCTGCAAGGGGGGTTTTAGGGGCAGCCCGGGGGTAAAAGTGGTAAACTTTATTGCATCTTTTTTGAGGTCTCAAAATTAATATTCTCTGCAAAATTCAGCTTGTTCGTATGATTTTTAGAGGTCAACTCTCCGACGACTGGATTAGTACAGTGTCTAAATTCATATTTTTCGTTACAGCGATAGAAAATGAATATACGGGGCCTGAATTAGAGGATGGTAAAGTGACACTTAAATTTATGAAAGAACTAATGGAATTGTATAAAAACCAAGGAAAACTTCATAGAAAATATGCCTATACGGTAAGTTTAAGATACTTCTACTAAGATTTTTCATATAGCAACGTTAAAATACGAAATAACATTTCGAAAATGTCAAGTATACTTCAAAAAAGCTTTTGTATGACGTTCTTATTAACTAGGTATTACCTTGACTATGACAAGACATTATTTAAGTTTGCTATTGATCGTTTGTAAATTAAATTCCACTATATTTGATTCATATTAATTTATTTTAGATATTATTAGATATAAGATCATATTTTACAAAACAACCCACGTTAGTAGATGTACCAATCGGCGACGAAGACAAATTTACAGTATGCGGAGACATTCACGGGCAGTTTTATGATCTAATGAATATATTTGAACTGAACGGCCTCCCGTCGGAAACGAATCCCTACCTGTTCAATGGAGACTTCGTCGATCGAGGGTCGTTCTCCGTAGAATGTATTTTTACTCTATTCGGTTTTAAACTTTTGTATCCTAATCATTTCTTTATGTCTCGAGGTAAGATACACTTAATTTTATGTAAATTTCGTTACTGCGAGCTTTCGACTTTGTTTGTGGAGCCATCTTCACGATCGGGTCCAAAGTTTTGTTTTTTTATAGTACGATAATGTCGAATAATGCAATCCAGCACGTTAGAACAAATATTTTCGTTTCTAGGGAATCACGAAAGCGCTACAATGAATCAAATGTACGGCTTCGATGGGGAAGTCAAATCAAAATACACCGCTCAAATGGCTGACCTGTTTACAGAAGTATATAATTGGCTTCCATTAGCTCACTGTCTTAATAAAAGAGTGCTGGTAAGTTATTTCAAGCTATATAAAAATATTTATGAATAAATAATGAATAATAAAAAAGAGTGTCAAAAGTTAAAAATTATTTTTCTAACTTAAATCGCTAGAGTTTCGTATTCGCAAATAAAAAAAACATAAAATATTTTGCTTTTAATAAGACCATGGTCGTTTAAACAGTGACGGCTCGTGGCTTTAGATACAAGGTCTGCAAGGATTTTTTGTCTCCTCAGATAGGTATACTGCCTAACTAATAAAAAGACTTCAATCATCATCAGGAGATGTTTTTTTCCTATAAATGTAGAACCTAAACATGTTTATAAATTAACTCTAGTCTACTTTAGTTGGAAGTAGCAAAATTGATTATAACGTCATCGTAAAATGTATTAGAGTTTTCGAGAGATTTTAAAAGTTTTTTTTTCTGTTGACATTTGAGACAAGCTTGATATTCTCTCTTGTATTATGGTGTTTCGGCAACACGTTTTGATTTTTTTGAGACAAGAGAAATATTGTTCATTTGGGGCAGAAGTTGGTGGTAATGAGAGAAGTAATGACAATAATTTATTAATTTCGGTAACAGTTTCTTGTAATGAATTGCAGTATATAAAATTATACATATCTTATAACTTATCCCACCTTCCGAAAATATTTGGATCAGCATATAAAACTTTTAATTCAATTTTAATTTAATTTTATTAAAAAATGATGGATAATTTTTAATTAACCTGTCTAATGAATATCTTGGAAATTCTTTGGCGTAACTTTTAAATTTTGGGTCGTCAAAGGTCAAAAATTTGCAAATCTTCAAAATTCGAAAAAACGAGTACTTATTTGCATAATAATAATATTCGAAATTTCAAAATACACTCATTTCTCGAGATCTGTTTCTGTGTCATGCCTTTGTCTTGTTTTGGGGGGTTCGGAAATATTAAGCGAGTCCAAAATGTCACTGCGTATATACTGGAAATTACTATCATTACGAAAATCTCTGAGATTTTGCACTACTTTTGTTATTCTATTTTTGGAATGAATAATGTCAGTTTTTTGATTTTGAACAACATTGAATATCAAATCAGTTTGGGTAAGCACTTTCTTAAAAATATTTAAAAGTATGTTAAAAGAGTAATCATTTAATAGAGTTTTCAAACCGATTTCTTCACGGATCGAGATATCATCACTTTCAAAATCGTCGCATTCGATAATAAAATCAAAAACTTCCAAAAGCTGGTCACGAAAATCTGCTACAGTGAAAACTAACCGAGATTTAAAATTCCATTGCGCCTGACAAACTGTTGGAATTTTTTTCGAAACAAACTGTTCTAAAACAGTTGTCCGTTTAGGCAAGCTTGAGAAAAATGAAGCAAATCAGCTTAAACTGGCAAAAAAAAGACGACATTCTTTTTTAATTTTTTTACATGTATTCTGCAAAACTAAATTCATTCTATGCGCATGACAGTGGGTACATAAAGCTTGCGGTGCAACAGTTTTAACTTTCGCCTGGAGACCATTCAATTCACCAAACATCACGGCAGCGCCGTCATTAGTTTGCCCTACCAATTTATTTTTGATATCAAAAAATTTTAATCTGCCCTTTAATACACCATAAATATATTCTGCCTTATGGCTTTTACTCACGTCTGTAAAACCTAAAAACCTCTCACAAATATTACCACGTAACGCGTATCAAATAACAATTGATAATTGTGAATGACATGATATATCAGTAGTTATATTCTAGTGAAAAGAACACGGTTTCCTCAATCTCAGATTCAATAACGTTACTCAAAATATAACTAATTGGTTCTATTAATTCATTCTGGATTGTTTTACTTACACCGCTAAATGTCTTCGAATCAGAAAGTAAATTAAAAAATTCCAAATTGTATTTCTTAAACATTTTTTTCAGTTCTCTATAATTATCTTGATTTAACGAATGCTCCGATTCATCGTATCCCCTAAATGATAATTCCTGACAACTTAAAAAAAATTACAATATCAATTAAACGACGTAAAATTGCGTGATTATTTTTTACAATTTCGTTATGTTTAATAGCATTTTCACGTTGGGCATTATGTAATGGAACGTAGATAGTTTGTTTTCCTAATAAATCTAATTTACTCTGGTTGTATGTATGATCTTTCGAAATATCATGTTTCTATAAAGCCCTAAATAATTCCTTTAAATTATCGTAACTTGATTCACACCACGGATTTTGATGTTTGCCCCTATTCGTCGAAAATAAAATGCAAGACCAACAGAAAAGTTTGTTTTTTATTTCACTCCCGGTAAGCCATGAGTACTTGCTGTACCAATTATCTGAAAATAATCTATTACTTCCCTTACCCCCCGCGCTAATATTTATAAGCCGAGACGTCTTAGGCAAAGGACGCCCCTTATTTTTAATAACAATTTGTTCTTCTTATAGAATAGATGAAAATCCATTTTGCAAAATATAATTTACAATATCAGATTTATCAATACTTACAGTTTCTCCCATAGCTTTCATTTTTTAGGTTAATTTACCTGAATTTGTTTACACTTTTATTAAAAAAAAACTTCTAATTTATCAAAAAACCCTTTAACCTTTAACTATGTACGGCAGTGTGAACGTAGAACATTATTTTAGAACATAAAAATAAATCCCAGAAAGAAAAGACAGTCGGTGCACTAAATATCAGTTCACGACTTAAGTTCTTATGTAGTTATCCAGACCGCAATAACATTTCATCCCGCGCTCGCAAGGTACAGTTTGCGGCCTATCCAAATGAGTCATAAGCAAATTTAAATTTGCCATAATTAGCAATTAAATACGTAAGGAGAGAAATGTATGTTTGGTTGCTCATCAACTAATGTTCCGTTGATTTTTACATGGATATCATTAAGCTTGGAATCGGCTTGCCGAAACCCCGAAACGTGCCTTTTTAAGAATTCACATAGGCGGATGGATCTCTCGGATTTCGTATCATTAATTTGAAAATTGTCTTACGCAGGGATCACTTAACGCTCAGATTGGACGAATTCTTTTTAAAAACCATGAATAAAACTTAGTCTGGTCCAATTTTTTTTAAAAACCATAAATAAAATTTAGTCTTTATTATCTCGCAGATATTTTCTTTATTTTACAGAAACAAATGACATCAACTTATTACCTGTTACAATTAATTATCGAAATACTGATTAAATTAAATATTAAAAATCTATAATATCTATAAAGGTGTGGGTCGGCACTGCTGACCCTGACCGGCCGCCACTGCGTTTAAATGCATTTATGTGCATAGAAATCGACTGATATCACAATTTTGAACTTTCTTGTCATTTTTTAGTAATTACACGTCAAATAACACTTGGAGAATGTAATAGATGATTTATTTTAGTTTAACATTAGCATTAAATAATCAACCTGTGTAGCAACCTGGGTGTTGTCACTAGTGCAAATAATTATTTGATAGTCTGAAGGTATTCACTATGTAACATTTTGAAGAGAATCAAGGTGTTATAATTTAATCACAATAAAAGTTTTTAAAAATGCTTTTGCTCTGCAAAATGTTGTTCAAAGACTTGCTATTTTACATGGAACGGTTCTGCTAACTAGTGAACCTAAGAATTCGAAGAAAAAACAAGGTGTAACCCTGCAAATTACTTAAAAATATAATGACGGAAAATAATATACTTAACAATGTCGTGACATACAAGTTTTTTAAGTTGGTTAAGAATGTCGAGGCGGACAAATCTTTAATTAATAATTACGCGACGGAAAAATTTTTACCTTAGAATGTCGCGACTGACAATTTTTTTACTTCATAAAACCATGACGAACAAATTTTTAATGCTCAAATTTACTTAATGTCATGACGGATAAATACTTAAGAACGTCATGACGGATAAGTTTTTACTTAAGAACGTCGTTATGCTCAAATATTTTAATTCAAAATGTCGTGACGGACAAATTTTTTACTTAGGAATAATGTGGTTGACAAATTTGTATTTAAAAATGTGAGCAAAGTTTTAGAATGTCTTGAAGAATAATTTTTTAATTAAAAAATGTCGACACAGGCAATTTTTACGTAAAAATATTGTAAGGCTCAATTTTATACATAAAAATGGTGTGACCAACAATTTTTGTAGTAGAAAAGTCGCGAGGAACAGTTTTTAATTAAAAGGGTAATTACAAATAATTTGAGTTGTTGCCTAGGAGTGTCATATGGGGCAAATTTTTAATTAAGAATGTCGTGAAGGACAAATTTTAATTGAGAATGTCGCAACGAATAAATTTTTTTCTTAATTATGTCGTGACACAAGTTTTTCCTTAAAAATGGCGTGACAAACAAATTTTTACCTAGGAATGATGTGGGAGACAAACTTTTTACTTAAGAATGTCATGGCGAAGAAATTTTTAATACAGAATGTCACGACAGAAAAAAAAAATAACCAAGAATGTCTCACGATGGACAATTTCTTTATTTAAGAATGTCGTTATGCTCAAATTTTTACTCAATAATGTCGTGATAAACAAATTTATACTGAAGAATACCGTGGTGGACAAATTTGTATTTAAAAATGTCGTAGAGTACAAATTTTTTTACTTAAGAATCACCTTAGTAATAATTTTTCACTTAAAAGTGTAGCCACAGACAATATTTACTCAAGAATATTATAAGGAATAAGTTTTTGCTTAAAAATGGCGTAACTAACAATTTTTGATTTTAGAAAGTCGTGAGGGACAAATTTTTTACCTAAAAAAGTGGTGTCGCACAAATTTTACTTATGAACACCGTGGGGACAAATTTGTATTTAAAAATGTCGTGAGCGATAAATTTTTCACTTAAGAGGCTACATCAGCGCGTCATCAATATTAATTCGAGAAATGGTGGCCGCATCGTCTTTCAAAAGTTCTGCGAATCTTTGGCAACAGTGCGTCGGCAGTACGTGACATTATCAAAGACGAAGGCACAATATTGTGATAATTAGAGTTCCGATCGATTTAAAAGCATAAAGAAACGCACAAAAAGCTTAACGATTTTATGGGAATAATTTATTATTTATTTATTATATAAAAAATCATAAACATAAGCATATAAATTTTAACAAACCTTTTTTACGAAAATTAGTATAAAAAATCTTAGCTAAAGAATTAGTAAGTACCTATCATAAATTTAATAATAATATACAGTGTGTTTCAACGAAAATTTGGCCGTCCCAGAAACTCAGAAACCAAGAGTTTGTCAAAATTAAATAATTTACGAAATAACTGAAGATAGTTTTTGCTAATTTATGGTTGAACATAAGTAATAACAAAAAAAAACATAAAATTTCATCAAATTAACCAATTTAATGTTCGAAATGACCTCCTGTGACCTCCATACAATACTACAGTATATTTTCAAACCCCTTCGTACATTTGCAAATACCTCCGGTCTGAATAATCGGCATTCTGTCACAATCCTTTGTCGGAACTCAGTAAGATCTACAGACGGAGTGGCATATATTTTTGATATTAGGTGAAAGGCAAAAGATCCGGTTATCTGGCCGACTACTCCATTGGACCCCTTCTGCCAATCCAAAGCATTGGAAAACGTTGTTGATTTAAAAATTGTCTTACGCGTATATCATAATGTGGGGACGACTTGTCCTGTTAGGAAGTCATTTTATCGCTTACAAGATTATCATCAGGTTCCAATGTATCAGTGAGCAGTGGATCAATAACGTCTTCTAACAAACTTAAATAAGTTGTTCCGTTGAGATTGCTTTAATAGTCCAATAACGTGATTCCCTAAAATTCCAACCCATACATTTAGTTTCCGAGATGTTTGTGTATGTGTCTCAATGAATAAATGAGGATTACTGATATTCAAATAACGACAATTATGTCTATTGTCTTCACCATTTAACATAAAAGTACACTCGTCGGAAAAACACGTACAATCGATGTTGGTTGTTTTTATGATTTCACTAAATTCTTCACAAATTTGACGTCGATGATCAGGATCATCTTCATTTAATTGATGAAGTAATCTTATTTTATAAGGATAAAATTTATAGTATTTTATAATTCGATAAACACTAGATGCTCATAGACCAGATGCACGAGGTAGTTGTCTGATAGACTGTCGATTATCCATTTGTTAATTACCCAATACCGCCACTTCAACTGCTGCAGTTGAAATGCATTAATTCTGTATTAATTGTATACATCTAAACAAATAAAGTACCTATAAAGGAAATACTACCCTGAAAATTGCTCGCTCGATCCGAGCTCTACTTATAAGTTTTAACGTATATATCAAACAGTTTAGCTGTAAGAAATGAACTACAGATTGATTCATAGCATGAATTCTGACGTATGCCAAATAAAAAATATAAGTTCGGAAATATTGTCGCCAATGAATATCTATCTACCTGAAAAAATTGGCATTTTTACTTTAGTGAGGATTTCTGTACAAAATACAGATTTATTACCAATTTAATTTTCATGGGAAACAACTTTTTACACCTTTTACTTATGACAACAGTAGATTGCTTATACTTACACTTACATTATTAAAATTTGTGGTGGTTCTAATTTCGATTTTTGAATCGTTTTAGCACGGTTTTAACTGGACCTTTTCTTGGAAGGCGTGACTTTAATTTTCTCTCGTGAAATTTTTGCCATTTTCAAAAATACTTATATTTCTAGAATAAAAAATACTCACTCGCATTAGAATTTGAAATATTTTTACGTAAAATAGACTTTTAAAACCCACAATTAATAATAATCTATTTTTTTTTCAAATAGTCCGACAACTCAGTTCTATTACCCAAATATAATAAATTAATTTTAAACAAACACTACTTCACTATGAATCAAAACTCGAATTTCAATATCTTGAAAATAATACACTACTCCATGAACAGATAAAATATCGATACAGATAACAGAGCAGAATCGTGCTATCACTTACATAGAAAACAGACGTAGAAGTGCAAATGTGATAGCGGTGACTATTTCTCTATGTTGCCAACTCACTCAATTAAGTTCGATTTCTTGTTACAGTTAATTGATTATGGTTCATTTTAGTAATTCCAATGTGACACAAAATCTAGGCTTGGGATAAAAAAGTTTCTTTGAAGAAAGTGTATTTTTTTGTTTTTCTTAATGGCGGTAAAAACTCGTTTTTGTAATATTTTATTTAGTTATAGAGTAATTTCCACTTACTAACATATTTCTCAAATTGGGCTTCATACCGCCATTCTTTACTATATCACTTATATGTGTGCCAAATATCTCGTCAAAATATTTAAAATTAAAGCTGCAATCTTGGAACGCGTTTTCCGTATTGATGTCGCGCTGATGTAGCCTCTTAAGAATGTCCTGAGTAATAATTTTTTACTTAAAAATGTCGACACAGACAATTTTTTGCAATGTTTACGTCATAATGTCTTAAGAGACAAATGTTTCTCAAAAATGTCGTTACGGACAAATTTTTACTTAAAAATGTGACGCAAAATTTTTTACTTAAGAACGTCGCGACGGACGAATTTTTTATCGAAGAACATCGTGACGGACAAATTTTTTACGTAAGAATATCCCGGCGGACAAATTTTTAATTAAAAATGACGCAACCGACAAATTTTTTACTTAGAATGTCGTGAAAGATAAATTTTTATTGGTAGAAAAATCTGAAAAAGAGTAAGTTTCGTTTAAGGCGTTGTGAAAGGCGTCAATTTGGCAATAATCATACATAATCTGAACATAATTATATTTTTACGTCTGATACGTATTTAGTGTTCGATCGTCTTATTATTTTTGTGAGATTGTTTTTTTTGCGAGCCTACATGGTTTGTTCGATAACTACTTCGTCTAGAACATATATTTTTTTTAATTGATTGTGAGTAAGTCTTATTTATTATTTCTTTACCTATATATTTTTTTATTTTTACATTGCAGCTTTACAATCTACTCTATACAGAGTAATATGTAAATAGGCTGTAAGTAAATTAACATGAGTTAGGTGCCGTCTAGTGACGGTTCTCTAAGTATTATTGCGGTAGGTCTTCTGGCCATACCCTCTTCAATCTTCTTTCGGCAAGTGGTTGGGTGAATAAATTATTTATCAGTTCTTTGTTGTGATCAGTGGAGCGATTTTTATATTTTATTGAGTGATTCTTTATTATGTCCTTAAGTTATGGGATGTCCAGATCATTGTGAAGTGTTTGGTTAGATACATATCATGGAGCTTTACTTATCATACGGAGTATGATATATAAAGATTAAATTCAATTTTTATTCAGTAGAATCTAAGGACCATTTCTGCACAGATCATCTTCATATTGACTTTAAATGAATATTTTATGTTGTACAGTTGTATTTCTTGTTTATTATACATTCTGTATTTTTTAGTGTTCCCAAAAACATGTCATTTTTGTGTCTATGAAGTTTGATCTATAACTACGTAATCTACAATACATATTAAATTCAAAGGAATATTTTTATTCTGTAAAATATTAAGGGCATTTTTACACAGATCATCTCCATATGGCGGATTACAATTTCCTGTTGTGAAAGCAGATATTCTGTATTTATTAAATAGAAAACATGCTATTTTTGTACCTACAAGGTTTGATCAATAACTACGTGATCTAAGACAGAATCAATGTAAATGCGAAGAAATATTTCGTCAGTGGCAAGAATAATTATGATTTTTATGCATTAAAAAGATTAATTAGTAATAAATAATAATAAAATGTTATTAAATACTTAACTCAGTTAAGATTGTGGATAAAACAAATATTAGTCTATTGTATATGATTATTTAAAGGCAAGACATGTTCTACTGAGTAAGCTGTAGGGTTATTTAAATCATCCAATTCTCATTGATTAACAAAGTAGAATAAACTATGTCTCGGAACCGTATAGATGTGTCGTTATTCTCCCTTAGCTACTTAACGTTGAAAAACCTATTTTCTGCAACCTTTCTTTTTTTTCATTCTGTAGAGGCTTAAGAGCAGACCTTCATTTGTCTTCTTCTCCTTCCTCTTTATAAGCAATTCTGCTTGTTCATTGGCGAATTAATACCTCTATGGAAGGTTGTCACTCCATCTTTTGCGCGGTCGTCCGATACTTCTTCTGCTGATTGGTGACTTATCTCTTGCTATTTTAATGACACGGGTCTCCTCTATTCTGCTTTTGTGGTTATTTCATTTTTTCTATTTTGTGTACATCTATATACACCGTACGTTACATTTTCTTCTAATGTCTTCACTTTTCTTTCGATCTCTCAGCGTATTTCCTGTAATTCTTCTCAGTACTCTCATCTCTGCCGTTTCCAGTAGCCTTTGCATTATGGCTGTGTCGGGTCTTGTTTCTGAGGCATATGTCATTATTGGTCTTACACTGGCTTCATAAATTCTTGACTTCATCTCAGTGTTAATATGTCTTTTTCGCCACATAGTATTGTTGAGCCATATAGTATTCTTATTATCACCTTCATTTGTGTTTATACGAATTTTGAAACATAACTAATTAGTAGAGATGTCACAAATGTCAAGAAATTTAACGAATATTTTTAGAATATTCGGGAATTTCTAGCTTCGCACCTGATAACTCCTTAATTTATAGGTAATGCACGGCGGTCTATTCACGAGAGACGACGTAACTCTAGATGAAATAAGAAAAATCGACAGAAACCGACAACCGCCCGAAGACGGTCCAATGTGCGAGCTATTATGGTCAGATCCACAACCGCAACCCGGTCGAGCCGCGAGCAAACGGGGAGTGGGTTGTCAGTTTGGTCCCGACGTTACTCAAAAGTTTTTAGAGTTAAACAAATTGGATTATATCATTAGGAGCCACGAAGTGAAGAACGACGGGTATGAAGTCGCCCATAACGGACTATGTATAACTGTCTTCTCTGCTCCCAACTATTGGTAAGTTATTCTATAAGTCTCAACGCCATTAAAATAAAAAATCAGTTATTTATTATAAAATAGTCGCCTATTTATTTCGTATTTTCTTTTAGTGATACTATGGGTAATAATGGTGCATTTATTACGCTGAAAGGAAAAGAGATGTTGCCGAAATATACAACGTATGGAGCTGTGGTAAGTATCTTCTTTTATCCTATTAGATTTTAAGAATAAAACGCGTAATTTTCAAAAATATTTGGCTTTGATGCTGAGCACATAACACCGTAAAGGAATCCAGTACGTATGTACCAATCTTACAACTAGACAAGTCTTTGCCGTTTCCTCGCTAGATTCTCTGCGCAGCCTGTGAGTTATGAAAAAAAGAAAGAACTAAAGTATTGTAACTAATAGAAAGGAGCATTTGTTAAAACTCTACAATTTATGGAGCAAATCTTCACGATTATTTCAGAAACACAAAAATACTTAGGCGTGTTGAAAAAATACTTAGGCGTGTCCTGTGGAACAAATTTTTACTCAGGAATATCGTTAGGAACAAATAAAAACTTAAGAAGGTCATGACGTACAAATTTTCACTTACGAATGTCCTGAGAGACAAGTTTTATTTAAGAATGTCACGAAGGACAATTTTTTACTTAAAAATATCGTGACGCATAGATTTTGGCTTAAGAATGTCGTCACGTAGAATTCTTTACCTTAGAATCTCCTGAGTGGCAAATGTGTACCTAAAAATGTCATGACGGCTAAATTCTTATTCAAGAATGTACTTAAGAATGTAGTGGCGGACAAATTTTTACTGAAGAATGCCGTTGCGGACAAATTTTTTACTTAACAATCTCGCGACGGACGAATTTTAATTTAAGAATGAGTTACATTTTTTTTTATTTAAGAATATCGTGAGAGACTAATTTTTATTTAAGAATATTGTTAGTTACAATATTCTTACTGTACCTTTCCCGTCATAAAAAACTGGTACAATTCTTATAATCAAAAATCGTGTTTTTTTTAAGTTGTGTACGTTGATCTTGTCACGTGTATCATTCTAATTTCTAGGACACCATTGCCAGTTCAACGAAAATATTATATGAAACCAGCTAAAAGCAGGGTTGTGTGACAGACCGCCAGTTTTGCATATACTAAAAACTAAAGCATTATCAAGCATTCTCGATCAGTCAGTCACATTAAATTTGTTTAAACATGCATCCTAAAAAATTCTCATATTAATATTGTAATTTTCCATCACCTCAATTAAGTAGCCATACATTGATTTGTGTTTTATAACAATTTATGAAAATATTTCAATTCAAAAATAATGATTGATAATCAATCTAGACATAACTTTAAATTATTATAATAAAACATTTTAGTGAGATATTGAATTGTAACTGTCACATTTTGAAAAGCGTTTTTTCGCCCCGAATATAATACGTAGGATAAAGTATAATGTTTAGTTTATCGTTCTTGTAATAAATAATAAATTAATCTTGGTAGTTTACCTGTTACAAAACTTATTGACACAAAATACAGTTCGTGTTTGTTAGGTAATTTAAGTATAAAATTACAGTAGATGCATTCCAATGTTGCCTGTGCCAATACCTTAGGTTTAAAGATCCTTCAAATATTTTGGATATTAACTCAACCCTATATCTGGTTATTTAATCTATTAGATACGGTATTCCGTTATTCCGTTATCTGTGATGGTAACAACGAATTGATTGATGAACCATTGTTTCTAGTCTGAACACAGGTTTACATTAGGAAAAAAAAGTGTACCAGTTTTATATGAACGGGAAGTGTATAATGTTCAGGGGCACAATTTTTTTTAAGAATGATGCGATTCACAAATTTGTTACTTAAGAATGTTGTGAGTTACAATTTTCTATTTAAGAATGCCTCATGCAGAAGGTTTTACTTAAGAATGTCGTGACGGACACATTTTTACTAAAGGCCATCCTCGAAAATCCTAACGGTGAATTTCATTGGGCTATCTCTATTTCAAACATTTCTTTATGAAAACAAAATCTCTTTATAAAGTAATATTCTAAGCGTCTTTCAGGTATCTCTCTCAAGTCCAGGTCAAAAATGCTTTCATCTTTTACTCGAGCCGACTATACAATCGGTACACCCCCTGAAGTGAAGATTTGCCACTTCAGGTGGTGTCCCGATTTGATTTGACAAAATCGAATAAATGAAACTATATAAATATAGAATTATCTGTAATGTTTATTTAGAAGGTGTTTCAAATAAAAATTATAATAAAAATCTTGCCATTTTGGTAGCATATTTTCCCACAGTTCTATATATTTATCAATCTTTTCGAATAAAATACCTTTTAGGATCCATATTGCAAATTAACAGAATTCTCTATTCGATATAAATAACTGTCCTTGCACTTGATAGTAACAGGAATTAGTTCTTTTTAAATGCAATTGACCTTCCATTAGTTGGCAAAATTTAATTTTTTTTTGTTCAATAGCTTCTTTAGGTGAATTGCTTTATATGGACATTTTTAATTTCGACTCTGCTTGAGTCACCTAATAAACCATCAGGCTTAGCTGCAAGAAACGGATATTCATCTTGTGTGAAAAGTCCTGATAGTTCAATATTAATATTTAAAATTGTTTCTAAGATCTTTTTTGCTTTGGGTTCGTTCGCAATTCCATATTCTGTAAATCTATATCCACAAAACGTTGGTTTCAATATTGCTTCCACAGTTTTAGTTCTGTCTGCTTTTTCTCGTAATTTAGATATTTTACCGACGTTCTGACTTATCAATTTAGATTTTGCTGACGTTCTATATACCAAGCAGTATTGTTATTTTGAACCGTTGTTTTATTAAAAATCTGATACTTTTTTGTAGATTTTTTAAAAATTCCTTTTTTTTTGCTTCGAAGTCTTTATCCGACAACTGAACTAACTCTTCTGCATTTAGCGCATAGTCTTTATCAGATTTATTATTACTTGTTTGTTTTTTAATATATTTTGTTTGTCTTTTTGTTTCTTCTACCCATTTTTTATTTTTTTTTGAGCAAATAAATTTTGGTAATAACCAGTTGCAATTGTTCTATATTTTGCAATATATTATTTAAATGATTTCCCCGTGAATTATATGATACTGATGCCGAAAGACACCTTAACTGATAGCCACCTGTCTTGGTGTAATTTACACGTTTACCTCCAACAAATTTTGCAATAACAGAATTGAAGCTTTCGGCGTTATTATTGGTGGCGCTTTTTATCAAACTTGTTGCATGATATTTAAGCCTATTGCTGAATATCGGACAACAAACCACACTCTTGCATTCAGAAATATAATTAATTTCCTGGTCTAAATTTTTTATTTTACAAAAAAAGCGGCACAATATTTGTGAACACCGAACACGTGATACGCAGTGTTTTCAATATCTTGCTATAAACCAAGTAGTTTTATATTCACTGGAATTATTTTCGCGGTGGTATTTGACAGCACAGCCAATTGCCGTTCGTAAACGTTGTACATTACTTTTTAGTACAGATCTTAATTGCAAAGGAATAGGTTTTCCTGCAGAATTGTATTTTTAGAGGATTGTTCGCTTAGTCGATTGACAAAATTGACCAACAAATGGTTTTTGCACTCGGTTTTTTTGTACGTGCTGCTCTCATCATCAGCAATAAAATATAAGTTGTGCATTTGTATACTCTGTTTAAAGCCTTCTACAACAATTTCACTTTCTATCGCAGTCGAAGTACCATTATAATTTTTGTAACATCGTGTTGAGTAATAGTATTTTTTGACGCACACACACACAACAATACTTGTTTTCTACGCCTCAGTACGATAAGTCCTTTAACCCATCTTTTACCAAGGGTAATAAAAACGAATATAATTTGACAAAAGTAGTTTTATTCATTATAGTCAAGCCTAATTAAGAAAAAAATATAAGAAAAAAAATTTTCATGTTCGTAATTTACAAAAAAACACTGGTGCGTAAACGCACCACTGCACTGGCTAAATCCGTTAACAATGGTATTGCGAAAAACAGTTGGCGTGCAAATGAACTTTGCACTTTTGGCACGTATATACTGTATGATTATGGCACACTCTGCAACGTCTACGCTTTTCCTGTTTAAAGATAACGTGATCCAGATGATCTGTGCGAAATTCATTTTGTACATTTACTGGAGCCGCTTGAGATTCTCTAGTATTTTCGAATTTCAAAAGTCGCAAAGCTAGGTCTGGCTTTAGATCAAAAGATCTAAAGTCGATTTGCGACATTTTATTATCATTTGCTATATTATATATTTTCTACGAATTGACGATCACATTAACCAAGACATTTTTAAATAAGGGCCACCACCACTTCTTATCCATAACCTTTATCCGGTAGTTGGATACTCCATTGTCATGTATACCACCCATATTTTTATTATATTGGTAAATAACTGCAGGCTGTGGAACATTATCTCCTTGCAGTTTCCAATGGTTCAATATGGTAATGAGTGCTGATCAATGTAACTATTGAGTTATCGTGCCATCTTACTAAAGAAATGTGCGTATTCTCCTCAAAGTAAGAGTCATAACAACCCCTAGGGCTTTTTTTTCCATTAGATTTGGACACTGTACAAATACACCAAAGTTTAAAACCGAACACGAGTTATTGACTTGCCTTTGATAAACATTTTACACGAGTGTCGTCCAAAGTACGGAACCATTTCTTCATCTATAGATATGTTATATGAGAACACACCAAATTGCATGAATTTCTCATTCGCTTTGTCAAAAAATGGGCGCAATTTACAAAATTTATCACTGGATCACAGTCTTTTACAACCTGTACCCCTTTATCTTCATCAAGTGACCAATGCATGTGGGTTTGAGGTAACGTGTGGTATCCTGATAAAATTAAAAGTCCAATGAAGTTGAGAAGGTCTTTTCTAGTTAGACTAAAATCATGTCTGTTATTGGCATGAGCATATTGTAAAGAATATTGAACAATCATATCTTGAATATCTAAGTTAAAAAATAGAAATAAAATTTCTAATGGTGTCAGTCCTTCAAAAGCCTTCAGAGATCCAGTAGATGCTTTTTCATTTTACTCAGGTAACTGCTTATGCAAAAATTGACCTTTTTTCCACTTGGGACTCTTTTTCCACATTTTTTTCTTTCTTACTTCTAGATTTACTGTTTGTATGTATAACTCGACAAGCGAGAGCTGGCGGGTTGCGTGTAGAACAAATTGAAAAGTGGAAGGGATTGCTCATTTCTATTGCAGTCGGCTAGCAGTTCACATCGTGTATAACTGTTTAAGTACCTATACTATATACCTATAATCGCGATTAAGTACCTCTCCTATCTCTCTTAGAATAATTCCTTTTTTATTTTCGCGCAGCTCACCCGCCAGCTCTCGCTTGTCGGATTATAATAAATTGTCACTCGAAGATTCCGCTACGAAATTTAAATCTTCTCCTACAGCATGTAAATCTTTCTCACTAGTATGGATTTCAAAAGTGCTGGCAATATCTTTATTGTGGCCTATAAATTCATTTCCAATTCCCTCTGCATCTGGAATATCTTCCTCATCAGTTAATTCGTTCTCGTCTGGCGGAGTATAAACGATATCTATTTCACCTAAAAATTACAGCTGCTGTAGTCTGCATACAAGACAATGCAAAATAAAAATAATTTAAAGAAAGAAATTTGGGCATGATTATAACAAGAATGGAATGAGTAATTTATTATCACTAAGTAAAAAACAGAATCAAACTCAACGGCGTTTCTAACAAGACTTACATAAAAGATAAATACAATATTCCAATACTTTAAGGTCCTTCAAGGCCAAATCCAATAACATTGTTAGTGGGGATGAGCGGTTGACACTGATATTTTATGAGATTGTAGAGAAACTACATATTTAGCCAGTGGTGCGTTAACGCACCATTGGTGTTTGGGGTAACGTTACAAAAAAAATTGAAAAGACACAAACATTTCCTCGTACAGTATTGTAATTTGAGTCTTTCCTGTTACTAATTTTAACATATTTTTAAAATATACGGAAAATCAATAGTTTAAAACATACATAAAAGATGAACGTCCGGACAACACCAATTTTAATAATTTTGGAATATTTATTGTAGACTTATTTTATTTGTTATATAAAAGGGCGTATTTTTATGAGTTGTATGGAACTTCAAAAATCAAATGAATTCATAAAAATTTCAAAATATTTGATTACTGATATCAAGAAAAAATTAAAACTGAACTGGTGCGTTAACGCACCAATGGTAAAAGATGAGTTAATGCAATAAGGCTTGTAAGTCCTTTTTCCTATAATACAAGCCACACCCGAATTGGCGGAAAATACAGACTTATTTGATAATCGTACCCATGCGCCATCAGCTATTACAGTAATAACAGCTTTATTATCTTCTGGATCAACTTTACTCCATTCTCGTGCTAGATTTTCTTCTTTTCCAGCAGCTAACATTAATTCCATGACTGTATTATAAAAATTGTCCATGAGCTTCTCTTCTATTCACTGCAAAATGTTTGGGTATTACACTGAGCTCATGTAAAGAAGAATTCTTATTGAAATACAAAAAAAGTCTGGCTGTTAGACGAAATTCTACGCTGTTTCTACATAATACATTATTATTATATAAGCAAATAATGAAACAATAGTATTTTTATAAAAACAGAAGTTAATTTTAAACAAAAAAAATTGTTTAAACTATTTATTAATTTATAAAGAGTTCGTGAAATTGTTTAAGACCTATCATATAAAATAAGAATTATCTCAATATCTGCCATAGTTTTTGGCGTTATCTTATTTTAACTTTTATATTGGAATTTAGCTATGCCCAGAATATCGAAGATCGGCTTAAGTATATCGTTGCGGATAATTTTTTTGCTTAACAACGCCGTGACGGAATAATTTTTATTTAAGACTGTTAGTTACAATTATTTTCTTAAGAAATCTGTTACGCACAAATTCTTAATTAATAAGGTCCAGGAGGATAAATTTTTACTTTAGAAAGTAGTCACGCACAAATTTTTATTTCAGAATGTCGTAGCGGACAAATTTATATTTAAGAATATGTAGGAAGAATTTTTATTTTAGAATGTTGTGAGTTAAGGGCACACAGCTTAAACCATGAAAGTCCTTCTAATATTATTATGAGAAAACTTAAATTGTAAATTTGGAGACTTACATATATAAAATTGGTTAAGATAAATCTTAATTTATTTATTAGTTACACTTGCAGGTATTATTAAATGATAAAAATGAAAAGTTAAACATTTTGCGTTAAAAGTATTTTATTGAAAATATAAAAAAAACACCAACAAAGGTGGTGTGTCATTGTAAAATCAATGAAAGTGCAGGCTTTTCATTGATCTGTAAACATTATCAGTACCATTAGTTATCATCATCTCTGACATTGTTGGCATGAGGTAAACTATCATAATAGTCCTTGGCTGATTGAGAACAAAATATTTTCAAAGCCTGAATATCTTTGAACTTCAACTCAGGAATAGGCAGTTTGCCTGTGTAAGCCTGCCGTGGTAGTGAAAATTCATTATTGTTTTTTTGTCAACCGCAGTTGTTGAGGACTGTTAATTGTGCTTGATAACCATGAGCCACTGTAATTTTCTTTGTAAAAGATGATTGCATGATTAACATCAATTTTCAACTGTCTTAAGGGTCTGCTGCAAAGGGATACTTTTTTGTAAAAAGGAGTCAAAAATGCAGTCCAAGATTTAAAATGATTTGTAGTACATTCCTTGACATTGAATGGCTGAGGTTTCTTTCTAGACTCTCTAATATGCTGTGCCCACTCACTAGGTAACTCAATCCTTGCTTTTTTATTAATGAAAACCATATTGCGATCACACTCTAAATAAGAGTGGCCACGGATAGGAAATACAACAATAATTTCTTTAAAGCGATGGCAGGCATGGACCATATAGTGAAGAAATCTAAAAACTGTATAACTTTTATTCTGACTCCCGCATGAGTCACAGAATGTGGTCAACTTTTGTACTTGAGAATTCAATTCATTGTATATTCGCTCCGTGGGTCTCCCCTCAATTTACAGTCACGTGACACGCTGTCAGATTTGTGAGGACGTTTTAGTATTGACTCTTATGGGATTATTTTGTTAAACTTAAATATTTTATTTTGTAGTGTTAATATTCGGATACAATTTTTAGAACTAAATAGTTATCTATTTATAGTGACATTTATAGTTCAACAAAAATATTTGTTGTCGTTAATAAAGATTTATTAACATAATCTACGAAAGTGAGGTTTTATATACATGATCAACCAATGATCAACATCCATGGTACAATGAATATGTTCATTGTACCATGCACAAAAGCGTCCTGATAAAATTTCAAGTAATCGCCACCATGAGCAGGTCAGTCGATTTTGCTTTGACACTTTGTTAACCCTCGGAGCGAATAAAGTCAAATAAATGCGAAACCACAGCATCGGCACCTTTTTTAAGGTTAAAAATATTCTTTAATAGAAATATGGCGTCGGCATTCACATTCATCAGGCGACGAACAGTTTCCCAGCTGTCAGATAGTTGATAGTTCTGTGACCAAACAGGACCGGTTCGGCGCCGAGACAGTGACGGGACTGATGTGTCTGAATCGACCTTTACTCACTGTTTCATTATAGACATAAAAAAATGAATCGGCATCAGACAGTTGATGAATATTGCATAAATAGTAGTTAAGTTGTCGTTTATAATAAACATCATTCGTTGTGATGTTTGGAATATGCAAATTTTTTTGAAAATCCATAGTTATACTAGTTACAGTATCATCTTTGCGAGCACACAATCTAGCACTCTTTTTTATTGCATAAAATTTCACTGCCTTTAATTTATGTAGTTTATTTTCTACTTCCTAGTACTTCTAAGTTTTTAATCTTTTGATTCAATTCTTCTTTCACAGTTTCATCTGCACATGTTCTTAGTTGAGAATTTATACATTTAATTTCTACCAAAAATTGATCACAAGAAGAGCAAGTATCCATCCTCGGATAGCCAAAAGAAATGTTGACATTTTCATTAAAGTATTTCCCATATGCTTCATATGATACTTTATTGTCTGGATTTTTTTCAATGTAGTGATCCTAGAGTTTTTTTACATTCAGTTCATCAGAGAGATATATCCTCTGGCTCTCATGTAAATTGTAATGTCCTTTACACCCAGATGTCTTCTGTATAGTCTCAATTTGGTGCTTCATTAAGGAAACGGTTTCTGATGAAAGTTTATTATTTTTAGAATGACATACCCGTTTGTCTAGGAATAGTACCATCCGTTTTTTGCAAATATTGTAGCCTCTGGCTAGAAATGCCATGCATGGAAAAAAATTATTTATAGCATACTGGTATTTCACGTACATGATCGCCTCCAATTCGTATTTTATAGCAGTAAACCTTGGTTCTTAACGTAGCAGTTTCTTCCGGTATTCTACGTTGTATGTCAAGTGTGGTTATGAGACCATAAAGATACAGTCTTGGCCATACCTTGTTTTCGATAAATTGAACGCAGTCACAATAGATTGCCGCTCTGCGCCGGATGTATTTTTGAAACACTGGAAGCGTTTGCATTGACAACTTTTCCCAGTCTCATGTCCTTGTAATTTAAGCTTTTTCACCACGTCTCTCATTCGCCAAGTGGATTTCCGCTTTTTGCTATTTGTGCACTCTATAATATTATTTAGTTTAATGTGATATTTTGTGTATTATAACAAGATTTACGAATATCATCAGTCATACTCGCAATTGACAACACAATACCATGAATAGAAAAATTCTAACCTAACTTTTTTGACAGTGTGTTTTTGTGGACTTTCATTGTTTTAACATTGCAGCACTGTGACTATCAATGTTTAACCCGTGTTCGACGATTGATTTTCTTCAAATAACTGATGATTTTAGTAAATGTATGATAAGCCAAAAGAAAGAGATACCAGAGACCTACCACAGACAATATAAATCACACAAACCATGTTTTTTGGACTTTTATGGTTTAAGCTGCGTGCCCTTGAAATAATAGTGACATAGAAAACCACTCGACAACTTATTTATATCCTTATCGAATAAAGATAAGAAACTAATAACTTTTTTTTGTTGCAGCCCCACCCTAACGTAAAACCAATGGCGTACGCGAACTCTCTACTGAGTCTGATGTGCTAGTACCTGCCTTTTGTAGTAAATTTTGTAGTTCACATTTCATTTTAGTAATTCCTCGATAAGTTAAAGAAAAAAATAGACATTTTGTTAGTTAAGGATTCGCTTTTCATAACATACGAATATGAGATTCGACGAATAGGATTGTACCTACTGAACGGAGAGTCCCGAATAAGGGTATAGAGTTTTGGAGGGGTAGAAAAGTGTATTAAACGTATTTGCTGATAACTAAACGCATATACGGATATTTTCTACTAACTACACTGTACAGAGTTACCGAACCTAATCAAAACATTCTGAAAATTTGTATTTAAATAAATTGTCAATTTGGACGTATTTCTTTTCTGATTTTGTAATTTTATGATTTCTGTTTGCATCTATCCTAGATATTATATTGTATAAAAGATTCTAACTATAAAGAAGATTGTTTGGCACGTCAACGAACTTAAATTCACATGAAACGCATATACGGATTTTTTCTAGACTATGCCTTACAGTGTTGCCAGATTTAATCAAATAATTATATTTTGGAAACTGTCTTTAACTGAATCCATTAGAATGGTTAAAAAATCTTTTTAAATTTGCCATTTCTATGAAGTTTTGTGTTCTGCTTTCTGTTTTTAGCATCTAATTGCATCTATTGTTATTGCATCACAAAGTATGACCAAGGATTTTTCATATATTTTATATTCTTGTCAATTTCCCATTAATCTAGTGTATATGTAATCTTCTAGTTGATCTAGAATTAGATTCAACGTATAATGAAGATTGTGTATCTATTTGTGTATTATTTTGGATCTCCTGCCTCCAAAATATTCATATCACTGTTGGGACACTCTGCGATTATTGTTATTTTTGTTTTGTTTTTATTGTACACACGTTTGAAATGTAGTACCAGTTCAATAAAGTATTTATTTTTTTTAGTAGTTGTACAAAATTGTCCTGTAATGACCTACCGACTGCCTTCTCTCCATTTATCTTGAAAAGTGATCCATTGACAAAACCTTTTTATCTTTTTAACTTTTTCAGCTTTATGTACAGTAAACGCCAATTTATCAGAAGAATAGTAAATTTAAGTTTTGAAAGATATTGGAAAGAATTTTCCAATTTTTCCAAAGAACAGGTTTCATTTTATTTGTGAAACATAACGGTTGGAAATGTATAATTTTGTAATTCTATTCATTGCGTAAATTAAATATTTTAGATTAAAATATACAGCAACAGTGTTACCAAAGCGTTAATCAGGAATTTTTTATCAATTTTATTCAATATTCAGGAATTCAATATTATTACTGTATTTCGATTCCTAAAATGTTAAATTTGCCTTAAATATAAAATGTTTTTAAAGACTATGTTCTAATAAAATATTAATTTCGTTTGAAGCAGCGCCATCTTTTGGAAGTACGAGAACTTAGCGAGGAAATTAGTTTTTTGCTTAATTTCAAGGTAGTACTATTGTACTAACCCCACGACGAAGGCGTTGGCATTTATATAAAAAAAAATAGTTACTAAAACGAACGTGAAGACTTTCTGGAAATATTGTGGATATTCTGGTAGGTTTTGATTATGGATTACTTCTATTTTTAAATCTTGTTTATGTTTTTGAATAATGTTCCATTTTATAGTGTATATTTTAATAAATATTAAAATAGAAATGGTGTGCATATAATTTTTTCACCTGAAAATATAGAAGCAAGATTTGTATTTTATCAAAAATTGAGAAATATTGTTCATTACCATCAAAGGAAACATTCTCCAAAATATTAAACGGCAAAATGTTGGAACTCAAGAAATATAAAAAGAAAGAAAAGAAATATATCATATAATGCTGCAAAATATCAAATTATTTTCTCTCTACCCAGTTTATAGTCCGAGACCCTGCATGTAGATATTTAAACAGTAAATCATAGAACTAGCTGAAGACTATTGACGCTTTATGAACCCTTTTTTTAAACTACACTTTTTGGATAGAAAATGTTTGAGGTATGCTGAAATTTTAATATAGTATTTAATAAATATATATATATATATATATATATATATATATATATATATATATATATATATATATATATATATATAATTATATATATATATATATATATATATATATATATATATATATATATATATATTTTATATATATTCAATAAAATAAAATAAAAACGTGTCTTTGAACGGCTTTCAGTTCCTGCTCTCCATGCAGCCTGTTGGTTTCACTTCGAAGTGAACTGGTGGATCCATGTTTCATACATTTTCACATATTCTCATAACAACTAAACGAGTACACAAGTTAAAATATACAGCATTTAATGACCTTTTTAAGAAGATCAAAGATGACTTGTTATTTTGTGCTTTGATTTTCAAAAAAATCCGGAGCTATCGAAACTTCCAGATCAATCCACTTATTATAGTCGACAGTTATAGGAAAACATAACTTGCTACGTATGGACTGAGAACGAGTTTGGATGTAGTGGCATCTTGTTTATTTGATTTATTATATGCTATTGATATTGACCCCCTACACGGCTGTTCGTCTTAGTAGTGATGGATGTGGGGGTAAAAATAAAACCACAATTTTACTTGGCATGCTGGCCAAATGGTTGCTAAATGCACCAAATCATGTAGATAATGGAGTTTCAGCTCGTTTTTCCAATGGCATGTCACAGCTTTCACCCTCCTGATCGCGTCTTTAAAAATCATCAATTAGCCTATGTTTGTTCACTGCTGAACGTAGGCCTCCCGTAAAATTTTCCACCTATTTCTGTCTTGAGCTCCTTGCATCCAGTTTGTGGTGATGCGCTTGATATCATCCGTCCATCTAGTCGGTGGTCGTCCTCTGCTTCGATATGCATCTTGCCTATTGGTCGCCATTCCAGAATATTTTTGGTCCATATGTCGTCCGTTAATCTGGCGACTTGTCCGGCCAAGCCCATTTAGCCCTGGCTATTTTTTCAACTGCATCTGTGACTCCTGTTCTTCTTATTTCTAGGTTTGGTACTTTATCTCTGATGGTAATACCTAATATTGATTTTTGGAAATATTAAGAAGGAAATCAGAAAGCGTGAGATAATCGTTAGCTCTGAGACATATATTTAAATAATAGACAGGTTTGCTACTGTTAAAAAGCTTGAAGATGACGTAACAGTTGCAAATTTAAAATCTGTAACAAAGGAAGTCATAAAAGCTCCTGGTACTTTGCATTTTGGCATACAGTCATGAAAGCGACTTTAGTTTATCCGAAAGAAGGTACAAAACGTCACCCGTGTTTTGGTTCAAGGTGAGACAACTTGGAGACAAGTGGAGAAGTGAAGTTGCGGACACTGCACGAAGCATCACTAAACGAGGACAAGCTTTTCGTAACTTAAGGCCCGGGGCTATTTCTAAAGGTTGTATAGCGACACCCCAAAAAAAAAAGACGACGTAAATTCTCTATTAAAGAAACATGGAGATGAGTGGAGAAATTTTGAAGAATTACATTTTTACAAGCATATAATAGACGATCCAGAAGGAGTTGCAACTGAAGAAGATTACTGTTAATGAGATACCTCTTTTCCAAATTTTATATTTTAAAGTAAAATTTGAGCAACATAAAACAAGTTTAAAAATAAATGAACTTTTTTATACCTAAATTATATTCGTAAAGTATTATGGAACTTTTTTATCTGAATATTACCATTAAGCTTGGTTTCAAAACTAATTTTTCCACCCTGTTACACTGCAACTGGAATCATTCGAGCTGTAGGTTTATAGAAAAAATATGAAACTATCGTGGACAGAACACATCACAAACAAAGAGGATCTGATTAGGATGAATAAAGAAATGGAAATTTTAAATAGAAAAACAAGAAAATTAGAATATCTCGGACATATTACACGTGGAGAGAAATACACCTTGCTTCAACTGATTATGCAAGGAAAGATCCAAGGAAAGAGAAGCATAGGGAGGCGTAAAATGTCATGGTTGCGCAACCAGAGAGAGTGGTACGGATGTACATCAAATGAACTTTTCAGAGCAGCCGTCTCAAAAGTCCGAATAGCTATGATGATTGCCGACCTGCGCCGCGGAGATGGCACTTGAAGAAGAAGACAGTGCAGACCTCACATTCTTCAAATTTTAGTACCAAAAGTAACATCCAAATTAGTAATTTTTTTATTCCCACCAAATCTTTATAAAATCCATTATTAAGTTACTTTCTTCTTCTTCTTCCTTCTAGTATTTAGGCTTTAAAGCCTGTTTCTTCTTCGATATTAGCCTCATAAATTGTCGCACCACCTTTTTCTTGGTCTGCCAATACTTCTTCGTCCATTTGGTGACTTATCTCGTGCTATTCGTACTATTCTATCCTCTGTCATTCTACTGATATGTTCGTTCCACTCCTGTTTCCGTTTTATCACCCATCCATTTATGTCTTCTATATTGCATGCTATTCTTATGTTTTCTCTTCTCTCCCTATTCAACAGGCTTTTCCCCGATATTCGTCGGAGTATTTTCATCTCTGTTCTTTCTAGCAGTCGTCTCGTTTTAGATGTGTCAGGTCTTGTCTTCGCCGTGTATGTTAATATAGGTCTAATTGCTGCTTTATAAATTCTTGTTTTTGTGTCTTGTCTTAGGTGTTTGTTCTTGCAGATTGTGTTATTAAGAGAACCTGACGCTTTACTTGCTTTTAAGCTTTGTTGACGTACTTCTTCAACATATCCGTAACGAGTTACATATATTCCCAAATATCTAAACTTTGCTTCCTGCTTTATTATTTTCCCATCAATTTTGATTTTACACCGTAGTGGGTATTTAGATGTTGTCATACATTTGGTTTTGTCTGCTGATATTATCATATTGTATTTCTTAGCTGTAGTATTGAAGATATGTGTTAATCTTTGGAGCTGTTCTTCTTTCTCGGCGATTAATGCGGCCTCGTCTGCATAACATAATATTTGGATTTCTTTGTTCCCCATTCTGTAGCCATGACCGTTACGTACTGCATATATTATTTCGTCCATTATTATATTAAAGAGAAGTGGGTTCAACGAGTCACCCTGTCGGACTCTGCTTTGTACTGGTATACACTGTGTTAGTTTTCCATTTATCTTTGCCTGTATTAGATTTTGGAGGTAGATGTTTTCGATGGTTTGTATAATATTGATTGGTATGTTTCTTTTATAGAGTAGGTGTAAGACGTCTTCGACTTGGATGCGATCGAAAGCCTTTGTCAGGTCTATAAAACATAGATATGCTGGTTTATTGTACTCGATGGCCTTTTGTGTTATTTGTCTTAGTACAAATACGGCGTTTACGCAGCTTCTTCCGGATCTGAATCCCTCTTTTCATCTGATAAAGTTATTAGTTTATTGATTTTATTGGTTAGGACTTTTGTGGTAAGCTTAAGTGCGGTGTTCAGTAGATTTATACCTCTATAATTGTTGGGGTCTTCTTTATCTCCTTTCTTGAACATTGGTATCATTATGCTGTTTCTCCATGCGTCTGGTATCTTGCAATGCAATATTAGTTTTTGTATAAGTTTTGTCATCTCTAGGGTTATACTTTCTCCTCCGTATTTTAGAAGCTCGTAGGGTATTTCGTCTGGTCCTGGAGACTTTCTATTTTTGAGCGAATTTATGGCTATTTCTACTTCCTGAAAACTGATTTCTATTTCGTGTGTTAATTGAGGTACGTTATAGTGTTGATTATTATTTTCCTTTGCTTTGAACATTTCCGTCAGGTATCTTTCCCATTCGTTTGCTGGAATGTTATTGTATTCCTTCAATTCTGCCATTTCTTTCCGTTGGTTTCTTATAAATCTCCATATTTGTTTTTGTTTACCGTAGAAGTCGCTTTCCATCCTTTTTGTAAACTGTTCCCAGTGTTCATTTTTTTGTTCTTCTTACCAACTGCTTTGTTTTATTTCGTATTCTTCTATAGTTTTCTCTAGATTCTGGGATATTTGATGTTTTGTACTTCATGTAGGCCTCTCGTTTCTCTTTACATTTCTCTTTTATTTCTTTTCTGGGCCAGGGTGTATATTGTTGTTGTTTCTTTTGTTCAGTATGAAACGTTACTTTCTCAACTTCAATAAAAATTCGTTATAGTAGACTTCATAATATTGCTTGCAGACGTTTTTTTCATTTCTTCTAGAATTTTAAAGAGTGGAGAATGTGACATTTGCATCTATACCCTTCTTATCGGATTCACTTTATTTTATTTAAATAAACTAAATAACAAACTTTTGAAAGAACATAGAACACATACAACATTAAAGATAGTAGAAGAATGTTTTGAATAAATTTGGTTCTTCTAAATAGACTTATTTTATATTAAGCAGGTTTCTTATGATAATCTCATTTCAATGAACCATTACAAGTTTTTTTAGTTTCACAAATATGATGGTCCGATTAAAAAAAAAGCTGTTAATTTTTCCGACCCTAAAATCAAATTTTGAATTTGCTAAAATAGGTATTGTTAGTGGCGACACCTATAGATTAGTACTGGGACTTTCATATAAAGCAGTGTTTCGTATTTGTATCATTTCGCACCTGCTTCTAACCAATTAGTTAGCTTTTCATTGTTGTATCCAATAATTTATATGATCAAACGCATGTGAGAGTATTGGTCGTCTGAAGACAATTATTATTTGTTTAAATCGGCATTTTACATAGTGGGAAAAATATAGTGATTTATTCTAGCTGGTTTAATTTAGATAATGTGAAATCAGAACAATAACTGACCTTAAGATGTTTAAAAATGTTCTTTGTTATTCAATTTAACAACATTTGCATCTCTAGCCTGTAAATTAGTTTGGAAGAGTGTATTTTGTACTTCAATTATTTCTGTTTTTTATTTTTGGTATTTTATATAATTCTAGTTTTTGGTTATTCGAAGATTTATCTTATATTAAAGACGTTTTGAAACATTTTTCATGTGGCATTTTAAATTTATTATATCTACCCATATGGAATTAAACCACAATTTGTTGTAATGAAAATTACATTTGACAATTTGAAATTTCGATTTCCAATCCGTAAATCATTTTCAAAAAGAATATTATTTAAGTCTACAGATATTTTGATAACGCCTTCACAGTACTTCTGCTTTCCAAGTCCGTATTTCCATTAGAGTAGGGCAATAACTTAATAAGCAATAAAACAAACAATACAATGCTAAGGTATTTATTGTATAATTTTAAAAATTTATTTATACATAAAATATTTTTGGAAATTGTACAAGATATTTACAATTGTTTCGAATCAGATTCTGTACAAAAATTGGTAACTAGAAGATAGGAATGTCGAATAACAAGTTCAGAAAATGCACATAGGATAAAAACCTCAGGAGTTAGTATACGAGGGCTGATCACGAAGTTCTAGGACTTTTTAAATTGCGCTAAAACGAAACGCAATCGGCACTATTGTTTATGCTACTGTTTTTTCGTTGCTGAGTTGTTTTCGTTTTCAGTGATATTTTCGATATTTTCAAAGTTGTTTGTGCGAAACTTTTGTTAAATTAAATTAAAAAAATACCAGAGAATTCACGTTTTTAGGAGCTTCTTGAAGTTTCAAATGGCAACGAAAACTTTTTTAAACTACTCATCAATGGGAGCGAAACAAAAATCCAATCGTTTCAATGAAAGTCAAGAACATACACACAAAAATTCACGGCAGGTGAAATCCAATGACAAATCACATATTTTTCTTTCCACGAAGTAGAGTTGTTACCTTACTCCCATAACCCAGCCTCCATACTCACCAAAGTTATTCTTTGTGGACTATTTCTTGCTTCTCAAGCTTAAGAGATCATTGCAAGAACAGAGGTTTAACTCGATAGGAAAAAAATCACTGGATTCCACAAGAATCTATGTCATGGTCCTTCCAACCGTGGAAAAGACCATGAAGTCTGAAAGTATGTTCATAAATAGGGGACTCTTGAAGGTGATAATATTGTAAATTAGTCAATTAAATAATGTTTAATTTTTAGATGAATTTTTTAAGTATTAGTCCCGGAACTTTTTGATCACCCGTCTTAACTAACTATGTTATTAGATTCATAGAAACACGTGGTAAAATTGACGTTGTTGATTAAAAATGCCTTATAATTGAGCTACAAAATATATGTTTGTTCTATTGGGTTGTCGCACTTTTTGAAAAAGTAATACACAGAACGGCAACACTGTTGATGTAACATTAACCCGAATTTTACTTAGTGTCGGTGTTGTCATGAGTAATTAAAGATTCACGTTGTATCTGCGTGTGTATTCTGAATGCTCTATATGTGTACAGAAGTTATGGATTGACATAAGCGCTTTATTACTAAGAAAAAAAAATCACATAACCTACCACAATTTCTAGGGAAATAGTGCGCGCGAATGGTCAACACTTTTCTGTAGTTTAGCTCCAAAGCATTTTTAAACAAAAAAAACCCCATTTTAACGGTCGCCGTGTTAAAAATCGTTTTATTTTCAACAAAAATATAATTTCCTATAATTTTAAAATCAGCTTGTGCTTAATACTGTGAAATATGAATTAATTTTATACTGAAAGACCCAGTTTATGCAATCAGTGCGCGGGTTATTGCGATTATCAACTAAACAGTAATACTAAAACAATCTCCCGACCAATAAATTCAGATCTACTATAATTATGTAAAGAAAACAAAGCAAAAAAAATATTTTTTATGTGTATATTTAAACCAAAATACCGTACCCGAAAGATAAGGATAGATTTTTGCCTAATTAATTTACCTTCTAAGAAGTTTAGTTGGAGGTGGAACCAGGTGGTGCACCATCGGAATTCTAAAACACACAAAAAATGTATTTAGTACTTTATACAGTATACTGCACATCCGAAATAGATCACTCGATATTAGGACTGTAAAATAATTTCTATAGAAAAATCTATAAGACACGAAAATATAAATGTTTGACAATTATTACAATTACAGAAGACAGCAACTGTAAAAAAATGGTAAAACGAAGTCTCTAAAACTGGGAAACAAAAATTTCAAAAGTTAAAATGGTTGAACAATGCCTTATTTGAACGAATTTTCAACTTTCTATATACGAACTGAGAACTAATAAAAAGAAAATAATCATTACAAAATATAATAAAATAGTTAAAGAACACCATTAGTTTTCGTATAAAATACACAATATATTTGTAAGGAACGCTACTGATAAGAGTAATGCTACGAATTTGGTCAGATCAACATAAACCAATGCGGATCTGTCAAAAAATCACCCAATTTGGATGTGATAGGTAGGTGGTATTCGGATTTTTGCAGAAAGAGTTAGGTAATATCTTAAGTAATTATAATTGACTTACACCCTACATCTCAAAATATTTAAAAATTTCTGCAAAAATACGTAGGTATATACGGTTGCCTACCACCGATATACCTATTGTTTTTTGATTTCCTGTTTTGCAAGACACTGTACTTTTATTATTCACTCGCATTACCTCGCATATATATATATATATATAAGAGTAAGAAAAAAGAAGTACTTGTGACTCGTTTGGAAAAAATAACACTGTTTTTGATGGGTTGGAGTCAATAAAAGGGGCTATTTGTTGACTATTTTTTACTCGAGCTTTTAATTGTGATTACAATTTTTATCAAGAGCTATAAAAAATACAAAATATCTTACAAAGTTGAACTAGAAATAAACAATTTTTTGTTAACTCACCAAATAAAATTAGTTTTTTATATAAAACTACTGCTTACATATTAAATACAAAAAATATTAATAAAAAAATGTCTTATTCTAATAAACGTTTCTCTGAAAAATTTTGATGAAGTTTCTTAAGAAAAAAATTGAATTTGTAAACAAAAATAGAATAGCTACAACCAGCCTAAATGTCATAAATACTAACTTAAAAATTTTTATTTTTGACATATTGTCAAAAATAAAATTTTGTTTAAAAAATTCTTCTTTGTTTAGTAACAAAAAAAGAAGAAGATTTATTCACCATTGATAGATGCCCGAAAAAATGTAACACATACATGGAAAATTCAAAATGTGATATTTCACTGACTGCATATATAAATTAAATAGAAATTATATAATTATAAATTTTGCTTAAATTTTGAATTTCTGACCTTTTGTTTAAATTATTATCACTTTTGCTAATACAAACCATTTCCAAAAAAGTTCTTTTAAATTTATTACTTTCATTACATAAAATTTTAATATTATCAAAATCCATAATATGGCCTTTGTCTTTGATTATATTTATATAGTAAATAGTATATAGTAAATAAATTTATTTATTTACTATATATAATTTACTATAATTTACTATATATATATATATATATATATATATATATATATATATATATATATAGTGAGGGACAAGAACTATGCGAAATTTTAAAAATCTACCTACTATAGATTGTCTCAAAGTGACTAGTCTGTAGAGAGTAAATGCACAACAGCGATGCCATACTTCTTTGCATCGATGCCAACTTGTATTAAAATAAACGTCACTTCTTACTACTTAACCTAATCCATCTTTTGTGTTGAGGGTAGCTTAAGTAGGTACTAATGCCCACTAACGACCCTGCCTGGCTTTCTTCTGTCAGTGGTTCTCAAACATAAATAATATTTGCTACAACATACTTGGGTTAAATTAAAATAAAATAGAAATTACGAAATGCCTTTTATTTATGTCACACAAGCAGTTTGTTTTTAATTCTACAGTATGTGCTAGCGATACAAACCATTTGTTTATAGATTTAAATAAAATCGAATAAAATAAAACTAAAATATAAAGAAACATTTTATTTATGTATTGTTCCGTTCAAAAGTTAAGGGGGAAAGAAAAACCGCACTGTGTATGTTGGCAGTAACAAAACGTAGAAATATCCGAATAAAAAAGTAATAAATAAGATGAAAATAAAAGAAGTCATTGTATTTAATTGCGTGTGTAAATAATCGTAATTGTACACCATTATACTTCACTGCTTAACTATCATCATCATTATTATTTTCGCCACTGTCATCACTATCTCCGTTATTGATATTTATAATAATTGGTTCGATATCATCCATCAAATTGTCAATTTCCCACATTTTTTTTTCTGTTGCTATTACGTGGTTTACGTAGTTTTTCCATTTCTCTGGCGTAATGACCTGGTAAGCTGCTGTAATTAAAATTCGCATTTCATCTTCTTTCAAATTCGCGTTGCGTCCAGCTATATACCGTTCCACTTCACTCCAAACCATTTCGATGGGATTGAGTTCACAGTGATAGGGTGGGAGCCTCAGAATCTTTACATTGTGCTTTTTGGTAATATCTTCTATTATGTACATGTCATATTTTGCTTTGAATGCCTTGACTATATCAAGTAACTCGCATTTTAGGTAGTCTTCTTCAAAAAATAGATCCTTTGACAGAAGCCATTCTTGAATATATTTTTTTAGTGTTGAACTGTTGGGAATTTATTTCGACTTTCTGCTGTGATAGAAGGCATTGTCCATTACCAAAACAGTTTTTTCTGGCAAATTTAGCATTAAGTTATTTTCGAACCAATCTTCAAGGGTCGGTCCATACATTTCGTCGTGGTAGTCCTGAGCATTTTTCTTTCCAAAAACGTGAGCTTTGCTCCATCAACAAATCAACTGGCAGATCCTGCGTACAATAAAACGAGCCGTGCACCACGAGCTGTGGGAGCTTTTAATCCTGTTGTCACACCACGAACAAAAGCATGGCGGTGAGATGTAATTGTTTTGACGACCCATTCTTTTTTCACACTGTGCCCGATATTTACCCATGATTCATCCAAATACACTATGTTGTATCCTTCTGCACGGTATTTACGAATTGCGCGTAAATAACGATGACGCCACGAGATGATTTCTGGTTTTTCAATCAAAATTGAATTTCTGCCAGGTTTTATAAACACAAAATCCATATCACTCAGCAAGCGATATAGCGTGGCCGGTGAAAAGTCGGGCAAAGTTTCTTCGACATTTACAACAGCTAATATGGTATTTATTGTTGGTGTTATGTTGTCACGAAAAATTGATGAACTATTCTGCGAATTTGGTCCCTGACATCTTCATCGTACTTGTCACGAGGATTACCAACCTTTCGCTTCTTGGGCCTGCTCTTTATACAGATTGAACCAAATTAAAACGGAACATACAATTTAATACATGGCTGTTTGAACCGCATTTGAAATAGTGGACCAATATAAAACTTGGACAAAAATAAATCCATACCTGGGTATAGACATTGTATAAAATATCGTTCAACTATCTGTCTCGCAACAAAGTTGTTTGCGTAAGACGGGTTTGTCTAAGGAAGCGATAATAGTTCAGGAAATGAAGCTCGAAAAAAGTTAAAACCTCGCAATTTTTTCGTCCTGCATGTATCCAGTTGAAATTTTAACAGAAGGTAGGTGATAGCCCAAGGATCAAAATCTATATCGAACCGAAGTGCGCTGAAGGTTTTTAGGGTGAAAACTACCCTAATTGTCAAAAATTATAAAATAACATATTAAACCTAAATATGGGTAAGATCTGGTTTGAATTAGTTAAATAATGATTATTTTATACTTTTGAATAAAGTTCCATCATATTTCAACCCTTAGAAAGCGACTCTTATTAGAGATTAATATAAAAAAAATAAGTAATGCGAAGAAAATGATTTCACCTTGGAACGATTTGCATAAAAATTTGAAATTAAGCTCAACTCACCCTCTGCTTTATAGTTTATGTCATGTCGATGAACCCTGATTGTTCTTAGGGGTGAAAACTACCCATAATTTTCAAAAATTGTAAAATAATATTACAAATTTTAAGATGTGTGAAATTTGGTTTGGATTAGTTAAATAGTGATTTTTTTATACTTTAAAATACAAATTTATACATTTTCAACCCTTAAAAATCAATTGTAATGAGTGCTATAGGTGAAAACAATCTTTTGCCAAAATTTTGCAACTTTTCAACTTTTGAAAATCACCCTTTACAACATTGCAGTTTTTATAAACTAATTTATAAGATATAAATTGAAAAAAGTAGAATTAAATACAAAAAAAATTATCAACATAAAAAGGCACCATATATTATACATTTACATAAATAGTTGAAAATATTTACATTTATAGGTAAAACAATTATAATATTAATTTTATTCGTCATCAATTACATCTTCATCGTATCTATGTCATCCTCATCTTCTTCAATTATTGGTGGACTGTTATTGCACCCTTCATCTGAGCACCCAGAACAAGTAGAGTTACAGTATAAATCAACTTTTCTGCACCCACATGAAACGCCGCATCCTTTTTTGCATTGGCAAAAAATAATTTTCAAAAGTTCATCGAGTGCAGGTTGTTTGTTCATGCGTACGGGTAATAACAAACCATCTTTGGAATACCATCCCCAATCTGTTGCTCTGATATTTTCATTGCCAAGCCATAGACATATGAGCAGATGTTTTATTCTATTGTATGGGATTTCAAAATAAGAACGCTTATCGAATGTATAACGCCCCACTAGCTAATATACCGGTTTTGTAGATTATTATGCTCCGAAATGTACTGTACTATACTAATGGAATTTTCCGGAAAAAAATTAACTGGTTTTTTTAACGTATTTCCTTTAATTTTTAATGATAGAGTGTTTCTTCCAAAACGATTTGTAGAGGTTTTGGCTACAAAGAGCTACAAGGATCTGTGAATTAAATCTTTTTGGAACCCTTGGTTTTTAAATGGAGTGAGTTTAAAGGGCTCGAAAAAGATGGTGCTTGATCGTAAATCGATGCTTTAAACGGCTATATCTCGCCA